TTTGAAACATGTTGCAGTGGAGTGTTGTGAATACCCTGGACCAGCAAACCAGTGGGTCCTAGATTAAATCAAGCCAGAACTTTCCCTGGAAGCAAAATGATACAACTGAAGTTCCGGTACTTCAAGGCACATCATGAGATGGCAAAACTCAGTAAAGAAGAAAATGACACTAGAGAAGGTCAAAGACAGAAGAATGGAAAGACCAAATATGAGATGGATTGTTTCCTTAAATTATGGAATCAGTCTTGAGTTTACAAGAGCTGAACAGGGATGTCAAGGACAGGGCATTTCAGAGGGCATTCATTCCTAAATTGGAGATGACTTGACAGCACATACCAGCAACAAAGTATCTGCAGGAGTTTCTCATTTGTTGTTAGGAATTGCTTGGTAAGAACATGCACAACAAGCTCAGAAGCAATATTAAAAACAAACAAACAAACACAGGTCCCATATTTTGCATAGAAAATTCCCTTATAGTTGGTCAAACTATTTTGTCTAAGAAGCCCAGCACTGTCTGATCTGACTGATCTCCTGGGCTTCAGTAGATGTATTCATGATGTAAGCTGCCTTGAGCCCTTTGTAGGAAAAAGGCAGGATATAAATCGAAAAATAAATAAAATAAATAACATGTTACTTTCTTAGCCTGCCTCAACCTGATGCTCTCCAAACGTGTTAGATAACAGCTCCCATCATCGCCAGCCAGCATGTTGCTTGGCAATGATGGAAGATACAGTCAAAAATATCTGAAGAACACCTGTTAAGGAAAGACTGTATTAGAAGATCCTTTGAACACAGGAAGTGTATGATTGACCTTCTGCTAACAAAGTATGCGCTCTTACCACTGCCACATGATCACTGATCTCCCAACTCAGGGATGTCTAAATTTGTTTGTTTTTTCTTCTTTGGAAAAAATAAACTACTTAGGTTCTGTTAGGGTACTGTGTCTTCACATTTCAAGCATTTGTATGATTGGACTGAGTCCATTCCAGGCATAGAATCACCCTTCATTTTGGCCTTATACCAAACATTTTTCCCTAGTTCAAATATTTCCTGAGGCATGCTTACTTTACTGTATAGTAACTAGATTGCTGGAAAAACAGTCTACAAATGTAACAGATAAAGTCATTGTCTGTGTTAGGATTCTAGATCTGGAAGTCTTTCTGAATCCCAGGACTTTCTGAGTCCTGGCCTGATAATTACCTCAAGATTTTGTCTGGATGACCTTTATTTCAAGAAAAGTGATTTTCAAACAAAATTTTCAAAACATTTTAATCTATTATCACATTTCTATCTAATCTTTTTTAATTTCCAAGTGCTCATGTTATCTTATATAATATTTTTCCTATTAACAACAACCCTGTAAGGTAGATTAGGCTGAGAGTTAGCAGTATGCCTGCAACCGCCCAGTAAACTTCATGATTGAGTGGGGATTTCAAATTGAATTTGCAAGTCCAGCACTCTGACCACGACATCAGATACATACCTATTCTTTCCTCAGTCCTTTGAGACAAATAATACTGCCATAGTTTAGACAGTGAAATCTATATCTAACTGCACTTAGTGAGATATTTGTATATGAGGGTATGATATTTTTATGAAAAGTGAAGTGAAGTGTGGCAGGGGTTCATGTAGCTACCTGTCAGTACAAACTATATTATATCTCAGAGTAAGAAACAAATTACCTTTCCAAACCAACCAGAGAATATTAATTAATGACTAAATTGCTCCATGTGTAAGCAAACTCTGTTAAGAAAGCCACATCCCTTGGTGAAGCTAGATCCTTAGTAAATTTTACTAGCATAGCACTGAGCTCTATGTCAGAGTAATTATGCCCTTTATCTACTGCAAGCTCTCTCTTAGTTTCTTCATACTCCTTAATTTCCCACTTCAGCCAATTTAGCAGTAAAATCACAGAAGTTTAAAAAGGTTAGCTACTGAGGAACTGGAGCATGAATATTCGGTTAAGTTCCATGTCTTGAAATTGCATCATGTAAAAGAACAAATTAATTAAGTAACAATTAAATAGTGATGGATCATTGACAATATATATACACTTTGGTGCTAAAATTAATCTCCCTTATAACACCAACAAAATAGTGCATTTTCGCTTTTATGCACTGCTAAGTTGTATCCTGAGCATGAAAGGAAGCAGTTGCTGATGAGAAGCTGATACAACCTTGCATATATTACGCAGATTATTGAAATGAAACTGTCTCCTTTCCCATATGCCAGCATGGTAGACATATAACCAAGACAGGAATGGTGACATGCATTTATAATGTCTCATTTTATATTCTATACATTAACTGATGAAATTCTGTAGTATCTGTAATTTATTACAGCCGTCCAATTTTTCAGATGAAATCATGTGCCAATGCCTGCTTTTCCTGTCCAGGTTTTTTTTGTATCAGAAAGAACATGAAGTTAATCCTCTCCCTTTTGTGCTTATACAGATATATTGCCACAGACCACTAAGAGCATGTTACAGCAGCATGTGGGAAGATGAAGTTCCCTCTCATAGATTGAGGTGGACAACGTAGGAATACGAATTTCCAACAGGCATGTGTTGTAGCCTGTTGGTTGTACACAGTTATAGTCACTGGCAGATAATACTTAGCACCATTAGAGTTTTGCAAACAGGCTTTGCTGTTTCCTTGGCAGCTAAATAACTGACTGCTGGCAGTATCCAGTGCTGCCACTGCAAGAATGACCACTAGCAGAAAGGAAAACTGATGTTGAATAGCACAGCTGAGGAACAGGCAAAACTTCCACTTATGAAATAGAACAATCAGTGGAGCTTCTGGAAGGGATCTTACTACTGACTTGTTCCATTCTAGCCTACCGTTGTGTAACATGTTCAGCACTAATGGACTGCCAGCAAAAGATGCTAACCCTGGCTTCTCAGATTTCAGTTAAGCTGATAATATTAATCTATCCATCCATGCATACAGAAAACAGTACTTGATTTTGAAATTTCAATAGAATTTAGCCACTAACTGCATTGGGCAAATAATCAAAACAAAGGCAGAATCTCAGCAAAGGTCGTGATATATGAGATTTAAATAGGATTGTGAGTGAACTGTTCATGAGAATGCAAACCCTACAGTGGACGGATTCTCTTCCCCCACCCCACCACACATACTCACACACATTCTCTTCCACAATCACACGCAACACAATTGGCATGAAGGAGGCTAAAACACATTAATAGTACAACGTGTCAAAATTAAGTACGAACTTTGTGCATAAATTCTCTTTATATGTAGATTGATAGCATCAGTGACTGAATTATGGCAAGTGAGAATTTAATAGAAGTTATCATTAAAAGTCCACTGGAAAGAGACACTGTTTATAATATAACTTGGAACGTCTAGTAAAAAGTTTTTGTAACACAGCCAGCAAGCCAAACAGAGTTCCCTTGCTGCAGCGTATTTCAAGCTGTGGGGCTAATAGGAGCTTTATTCACCATTGCAAAGAGTAAGTATGAGGAAGCCTGGTTCTGGCTGGGACTGCAGCAGGTGTGACGGGCTAATGCTTCCCCCCAACTTTCTCCATACTATAATCTCAAGTGGGCTCACCCCACGCCTGGTATCTGTTAAAAATGACAACTATGTAAGCTCAAATTATGTTAATCATCTCATGTTCCATTGAGCCTTCAGAAGACAGGCATTATGGTGCACTTATAACTTATAACTGTGCCCCTAATCCTAATAGACCTTAAATCTTTCATTTCACAAAGTATAATAAAGACCAGAAATGTTCTCCGCTTGTTTTGCAACAACATATAGAACCAGTGGCACCAGGAAGACAGACATGAGTAACTAGAAACAACGGAAGTAGATAAATAGATTTTCCATGGGGGGATGAAAGAGAGATAGAAAGGCAGTTTGCCATTGAAAACTCTCCTGATTCAGGGATGCTAAGTTTTGTAAGCAGCTTAGGGTGATTAGCCTTCCGACTGACAGCCAGGATCAGGTGGGAAGTGAGGTATAAAAACAGCAAGATACCCTTGCCAAATTTATTGCATAGAGTATGATTTCACACCCATCTCTGCTAGCATGTCATTATTTTCTAAAATCAGTTTTCCTGGTCTAAATTATTCACAGACATTCCGAACCCTGTATTTACATTTAGGTTTCACTTTACCACCAGATCATGCCCACTTAAAATAATAAAAAAAATTCTCAAACCTTCAGAAGATTGTACTAATTTTTTTTCATTAAATGCATCAACAATTAAAACATCAGCTCAAGAGATAATTCCAACTTGTGCTAAGAAGCTTATACAAAAGCCAGGCAGAAGAGGTTTACCTTTGATAGCTATCTAGTGGAATGGGCCTTGCGAACTGCTCTGTGGAAATAATTTCTTAATCTAGATGCCAAAACAAAAACGAACCTATTTCTAAGAAGAGATAATCTCACGTCAGTGGTTCCCAGCTGAAACAATATTTTATGTGGGTAAACTGGAGCATGGTATCAGCTTTAGTTATTTCTCTACACAATCATATGCATGTTGAGAGAGAAAGGTAGCTCACAGCATGCCCCAAACAACCATGTTGGCTGGCAAATGCTGGAAGATGTAGACCTTGTTTCTGTCTAAACATGCATAGAAATGCGCCTTTAGATATTCAAAGGTGATGACTGGCACTTTTAAATTTAACCTGGAAGCAGATTATTGGGAACCAGCAGTGCTACATGTTCCTAGAGGCTTGTACTGAGCACACAAGTCCTGTTGCCACATTCTAGATCATCCAATGTTTCTGACTGCACTCATCGGCAGCTTGACTTTCTGTTTCTAGAGCATGCACGACAGTGGGTAAATATAGGATATAGTATTAAAATGGATAGGTATCTCAAAATAGAGAGTTATATATACATATTCACGTATATGGAACCTTAGAAGTGGGGCTAAGCACCTGTTTGATCTTTTGCACCTTTCCTCCAACAAAACCAACAGTTTCAGGCAAAATGTAAGGGAATCCAAAAACAGAAAAAGCTTACCGTAGTTGTCTTTATTCGCCCACCTGGTTGTGTACAAGTCCAACCTGATTTATTGATTAGCAAATCACAGCCTTCTCCTTCTAAACATGGAAGCATTTCACACCACTGTTTTGTTTTTATAATACGTGCTGTAGACAAAACAAGGAAAAATAACCAATATAAATATTTGCATGCATTTCACATAGTGCTTTTCAAAAATTCTGCATGCCCTTTCATAACCTCTTCATTTCTATGCAAAAGAGGTTGTTGTTTTTCTATCTCTTTCACAGGAATGTTAAGAATTTAGGATCATCATCATCATCATTTAGTGTGCGGGACTTCGCCTCACTGCAAGGGATATAGCTGATGACTATTTGTGCGCTACATTTCCAGCTAGTTTCTTGGTCCAGAACCCAGCTAGAAAAGGGTCTATATGAAGCAAAGTAAATTTTCAATTGAGGTACCACTTGGAGCTCCGGCCAGTATATCCTATGTAGACACAACAACATCAGGAAGGAGAGTTCTGTCCTTTGCTTCATGCACAGGGACCCATTCCCGACAGAACATTAAAACCATTATGAAAACAAAAAGATTGAAAATAATTAAAAACATAGCAAGAATAATATTAAACAGTGCTCAGTCTAGCAGAAGTTCAGTAACAGGTCAGCACACATCTCAAAGACCTGCTTGAATAAGCATGTATTTGCCTACTGGCAGGAATTCAGCAGAAGACGGGCCAACCAGGACTTCTTTGGTAGGAAGTTTTAGAGCCTGAGAGTGGCCATAGAGAAGGCTGTCACCAAATGTGTCTCTATTCATGGTGGACTCAAGAGAAGGACCTCCCTGATTAGCCTGCATTGTAAACCGACACTTCCAGATTCATCTTTGTGACCATACAGGAAGAGGAGGAGTGGGGAAGCAATTAAGCCTGAGATGTTACATGTATGCTGAGTTTAAACAAGTGTGGAATTGTATTTTTATTTCTACATACTCTGAGCACTTCAAAGTCAATACTATCTTCATGATAAACATGTCACCATAAAGGGAAGATGAGTTCATTTAAAAAGATTTAGCGCAACAAACTGGCTATCATATACAGCAAGCTTTTCCTCTCCTTATCTATTTTAGAAGACTGGAGAACTTGTGCCACTACAACCATAAGTCTAGAATGTGATGTGGGAGAGGGGTTGCTAAGTGTGTTGAAAATTTGTAACACACAAGACTCTTGGAACACTGAAGAATTAAGTCTTAAAAGAGAACAAAAGCCAAAAAGCTATCTTAAAAATGACTGTATCAGTTTTGATACTTTTCATAGCAAAATGAAGTATCCAATAGGATGTTTCAGTACTATTGTTTTTGCTGATACATTTAGCAACAGCAGAAGAGTAACCACAGACTGTTCTTCAGTGACATTCTAAGAAATTATCTAAACTATATAAATCTGTCATGGCTCTAATTTAAAAAGCCCATGAAAACAGTTCTGAGAAAGGGTTAGAATTTCCAAATAATATTCATCTTGGACTTTAAAAAAAAAACTCCAGCAGTCAAACCAGTTAATTGAATTGGATGGACCTAGGATTAATTTTTAAAAGCATATTAAAAACATAACAATTTATTTCTAAATTTGATAAGGCAAAGATCATGAAGGCTGTCAAGAAGGTGTGCTGTTTGCCCCTATTGGATGGAGCTGCACTTGGTATGAAGGAACAGTATGTAGTCTGGGAGTGCTGCTGGGTCCATTTCTGTCTTCCTCATGCACTCATTTATCCCAGACTTTCCCTGACCTGTAATGAAATTAATCATGCTGCTCTATCTTACTGCTTCAATATGCAGTAATTGGAGTTGGTGTTATATTACAGTTTAAATGCGATTTTGATATTTATATGTGTACCTCTATGATATTCTGCTATACTGTATTTAACAGCATATAACTATTACAAATATAATAAATGAAATAAATACTGACAACATTTCTAATGTTTATATTCATTTTAGCCAAACAACCTTTCTTTTATTTCCCATTGCAGTCTATTCTTTCCTGAAATAGTAATAATTCCATATTGGTTTGGCGGTATTAACACATCTTTGGCGATTTCTTCTTGCACTGTCACTAGCCTACATGAAAGCAGTATGGGTGGTGGAGGCAGGAAGCCTTGCTTGCTAGCAATAACTGCACAACAAAATACAGTTAAGATCATATGGGATTAAAATGCACATATTCAGTCATGTGAAAATGCAGTGTGAAAAACAAATTTAAGATTTTTTAAAAGCAAGATTAAAATCAAACAGGAGATAACACACTAAAATGAAAGTAATCTAAGTTAGATGCAACCCAGTCTTTAGGTTTTTCACCTGTGTACAAAAGCAACTATAGGAATATGAATATTAAAATAATAAACAAACTTTTATCATAAAGGCTTTGAGTACCCACTTTTTGGATAAGAAGAAATTAAGATAAGATCCTGTAAACATTAAATTCACAGATAGATGAAGGATTCAGAACATTAAGCAATCTTATGCATATTAAAAAGAAAAATAAGTCTACAGCTTCTAGCTTTCTGCAGCCATCCACCATTGGCTGGTGGATGCTTAGCAATGACTTAGCATACCATGCTTAGCATGACAAGCTCTAAGTATGCACAGGATTGTGCTCTTAGTGTTCTAACAACTTCAGACTTTTAATCTGTATGCAGGACAATAGATGTGACAGAGTTCAAGTGGCATATGGTTTAAAGTCTCAGGAACTAATCAACAGAAAATACAATTCTAAAATATAAAACCCAGAGGGAAAAATGACAGAAAATTCAGAAATCCTATTTCTCACAGTAACCTAAATGACAGGATTTGCAGGGGGAAGCCTAGGAGCTAAAAAAGGTAAAGATTAGCAATAACAACTTTGCTTAGCAACTACTTCTCTCTTTTACCAGCACAGAAAAGGCTGAAGTACTAAGCAGTTGCCTAGCAGCCATCTGACATTCTTGCCGGATCAACATTAGTAGATAATAAGTATCATGGAACAATGCCATAAAAATCCCTACTTCTGTGTCAAAGATCAACCAGGAAGAAAGGGCCAAAACAGGGAGTTTCTGGCGAAGAATATAGTTTTCAAACACTAGATTACCTAACTAAAATTTTCCTCACACGAATTGATCCTATAAAACATAGGTGAATGCTGACATTTTGCATGCCCTACTCGAATACTCCTCATTAATTAATAAATGCATTTCACAGGTGGAAAATCAGTATACTCAAATGCCAGTATTTGAGGAAAGATACTAAGGTCTCTCTAATGTCCCCTGTGGAACTTCCTATTTTCTAAAGCAGTTTTTGCAAAAATAAAGATGAACTTTGAAGAAAAATGGGTGACAAGAGGTGCAGTCAAAGTTTCCCATACAGTATAAAAATAAAGCAGAAAGTGATGGTCTCTTCTATGTTTACGACTTGTAACACTTTGGTTGATCCTATCAAAGGTATTACTCAACTATAGATTTTGGGCATATTCATCCAGGGTGTTTATAAATGCAACCACATGCTTAACTCTTTGGAAAGAGCTTATACATCCAAATACATTAGGAAGCATCATATCATATATGTAAATTTTCCTGAAGGTGCAGTATTTATCAGACCATTGGCCTATTTCAAAATGGCATTTCCTATTTATTTTTTTATCAGCTGATCACTAGCTTGAGTAACTTAGTAACTTAGGCCATAACAGTTTGCATGATGGACTTTTAAATCCCTAAAGAGAATATTTCCTAAACTGTGGAAATCCTAATTTTCAGGAAAAGAACAAATAAGAGATAGATTCAGGGTATTTAGTTTTTGCTGTCTAACAAGGGATGTTAATTGAATGCTTGCCTCTAGAAAGAAATCTTTGTCAGGACTCACTGTGCTCTGTTTTTATCCCCTGCTGTTCTGCTCTGCTGTATTCAATTAGTGTACTAGAAGCAAAGTAAAATTTAAACTGATCTCTGACATGCCAGCAGAAACCACTACAGAGATCAGGTTTTTAGGACATTTCACTATGTCGCCAGTATGCTGAAAATGTCAGAGCTAATGGGGGTAAGAAGAAACAAATAGTAGAGCTATCACAAAAGGGTAAGAGGAAATAACAGGCAAAGGATTAAAAATAAGAATTATACAAAAATGCATGTGACAAGACCAACCACAATGCTTCTGGAAGTAATTGTGTAATTAATCATAATAACTTAGGTTCTCTTAAGGCACCCTCTTATTTCATATTTCATTTGGAGGGCCCATGGGGCAATGATGGAGCATGTTTTATAGGCAGAAAGTTCCCAGGAAAGTCCCCTTGCCTTTCCATTTTAAAGGATGAGATAGCAGATGACAGAAAAGATTTTTGTCTGAAATCCTGGAAAAGAGGCTGCCAGTTAGAGTAGGCAATAATGGACTATGATGGGAACATAGTCTGATGCAGTATTAGGCACTTTCCTTCTGCACTCTAGGCACATTTCTGTTGTTGACATTATTGTACTTGGAAGGGAGGAACCTAATCAGTCAGTCAGATTTAAAACAGGTAATTCATTACCTTACTAGTCATTTCACCACTCATTATTAATCTTAGGAGTGAACTCTAATTATGAAACAGTTGGCACTCTTAACACCTCCCACCTCTCTGACCAGCTCTTTCATCCTAATCCTCCTGTTTTTTCTCTCTCTCTGCAGTCTTCCAGGTTCTCCCAAAAGGCAGAACTATAGCAAATTTGGCCTTTATGGCCATTTACTTCTCCCTAAATACAGCATCCCAAGGTGGAGATGTCAGACTCTGAATCTGAACTGGAAGAAGCAGGGCCAGAATGCGTAGCTGAATTTCCAATGTGAGTGAGCTGCAAGATAGACCAAGTGGCTGGTAAGAATCGGATTACCTCTGGTTCAGCAGCAGACACTGTGGAATAGGCAGGGTAGGTTTGACTTTCTCAGCTCCATGGTTGGATGTCAAGTCAAACAATTAGACCAATTAAGTAACATGGTGTTTCCACGGACGGGCTCATAAGCACTGTGAACCTGCCTGAGAGTGCGGCCAATTCCTTTTGACAGAGAAGGGTAGGAGGGAAATTCAGTTTGGAATCAACGTCTGGCATGGGCAAGAACTAACTCAGCAATTAGAGGCTCTACACTTGATGAAATT